TACACTGTTTAAATATAATTTGCCGCATGAGATACAGTAACACGATTTGCATTTAGCTTAACATTAATTAATTAATTCATATAATGTCATACATTTGCAAACACACAGACACTTATGGCATGGAGTCTGCGTTCGGCAAAATCCACGATTTCGATCGATTCGATTCGACATTCTTCGGACTCCCGAAGCAGTTCACCGAAATGATTGACCCTCAGGGACGGCTGCTATTGGAGGTGGTCTACGAGGCCATTGTCGACGCCGGTTAGTGTCCACACTTTCATTATTATTATCATGTTTCAAACAAACAATACAATTCTACGTGAACCTCGCAATATTATTAACTTTAATTATGTGATATGTGCTTTTTAAAATTTATTATACTATGTTTAACATTTACAGAGTGTAAAATAATATTTTGCATAAGTTTAATATTCAGTAACTTTTTTTTAATATTAATAAAATAAGCTAGATTTAAAAATAAATTTATAATTCTCACAGAATATTTCATAAAAATTATCTAGATGTTAATTTAATATTGCAAAATATATTAATTAACATAACTAAATGAAATTAAATGTCATGATTATGTGCCTAGGTGTAAATCCACAAGATTTGCGTGGTAGTAAGACGGGTGTATACGTTGGCGTATCCCTATATCCTAATCTCGATGGTAACGCCGATGAAATTCAACCCGATTTGGTGCACACTATACACAAGGCGTCGATGCAAACGCTGGCCAATACGAAATCAATATACGCCAGCCGTATATCATTTGTGTTTGATTTTAAGGGCCCGTCACTGATAGTGGACACCGCCTGTTCGGCCAGTATGACCGCCACTACGCTGGCTATGAATGACTTGAGACTCGGTATGCAATCTGTCAGTGTGAGTAGCGTGGTCAAATAACATTTTCAAAATCCTCTACAAATGGGAGAAAATTGCTAACAATTTTTGTATTACAGCTTATTATAGAATATACTAGCTTTAAGGCCCGTTTAAAACTGGCGCT